GTCCCACCAAAGAACAGTAGGGGTGTAGGGTAAGTAGGAAAGCCCAAAAGACCCCTACTACACGTTGTTATGAAAACTACACAAATGTGTTCAAGTACAGTAATCACTAGGAGTTGAACTCAGCTCAAGGGAATCTTTAATTTCTTTTAAACTCTCCCTATTTCCCCCCACTTCTCTGTATTTAAGTGCTAGATATCATGCTGCTTTAATTTTTCTTCACAAGACAGATTTTCTTATGCAAACAGGATTATACAACTTAAAAAAAATAACAAAAAGTACAGAGAGCTTCACAATACATTTGTGAGGTAAGCCTCTCACAGCAATTTTCCTTTGTAACCATTTTTATATAACTAATGCACTCATTAATATATTTGTAATGTAAGCTATTTAAATATTTGTATGTATAATTCACACAGACACACACACATCATTTAAAATATGTGTGTATGCATACACGCACATATACAAACATGCATCGTATTTATTTTGGCTATTTTACTGAAATAGAAACCTCTTTAAAATCAGTTTTTGCTGATTAGTTCTTATTTCTCTTGTTTAAAATTGCTGTTGGCTGAACCCTCAGCAATTGAACTCCTAAGATTTGTCAGCTAGTTTTCTAAGGGTCAAACTGAGTGTTGAAATCTATTATAATTGCTTTTGCTTTTTACTCAGAACTAGCTTTGGTTGGACCCAATCTTGAACATTTCTGTTACACCCTTTTATGTATTTTGGAGGAAGCAATCTTTTTAACATACGATTTCCATGTACTGGAATCTCTATTCCAGATTTAAAAATGAGAGACTACTCTAACACCTGTGTTTGATAAATAAAATGTGTAGAATGATTATGACAGAACTTTCATATTTACTTTCTGACAAATGTGAACATTTATAGCTTTGCTTCAGAATTGCTGAAATTTAGGATCATTTTAGTTTAAAATATCGATAGAACTAGAAAAGGTGGATTGAAGAAATGGCAAGAAGTAGGTGAGCAATAATTCCTCCCTTGACAAGGAGAGGACTTGAGACTGCCTCCAAGTATTCCAGGCAGTGGTCTCCAGCTGGTTAAGAGACAAGAAAAGAATCATGCTCAAACCTCAATCAGTGCCTTTGAAAGGATGTTCAATTCACATATTTCCTTTTCTAATACTTTCAGAAATTGTTTTTATGCTATTAGGAACATTTGGGTCAACAAGTTATATAGCACCAGGTGAGTTTCCTTCAATCTTCAGTGAAAGAAGTTTTAGGTTTCAGAACTTTTAAAAAAAATTGCGGTGGGGGATAAACAGCTAAAGGGTGATTAAAACCTGGATTTTAGAAAGTTATAAATTAACTAATGGTCCAGATAAATTTAAAATTGGATTTTGGAATTAATTATAAAAAATCCCATATGGAAATGCTTTTGTTTTGAATTAAACAAAAATAAGATTTTAAAAATTGGACACTGGAGGAATCTAGAAGGAATTAAATATTTAAATTAAAGAAAAAGAACACTTAATCACAACTTACAGTTACAGAATAAAACAAAATATTTTAACAGGAATATTTTTTGAACAATGGACTCATTGTTCATTTTAAAAGTCTGTCTCTATACATAGAGTGTATGTAAAAGTTGATACAGAATAGGAGCAGTTTCTACCTGATAAGATCAAGACTCAGTTGAAAGTGGACATCTACAAGAATGATATGGAAGAAGATGCTATACTGGACATACAAAAATGATTGATGTTTTAATAATTAAAAGGGAAATACAAACAGATCAAGAGATTGAGCTGAATAATTTTCTTTCACTGGATTTACAAAAGAGGATTGTTAAGGTTTGAAGAATTTTGTGAAAAGTAGAAAGAAAAAAATAAATCAAGTTCTAGGACGTGATTTGGAGGGACTAAAGATTATTAGAAATAAAGGGAATGAATATAAAGTGGGTTTATTTGATCTGAGTTAAAATAGATACATTATTGTTTCTGGTAACCATTCATGGACTTTTGCTGACATCATGAGCAAAACAATGAGGCGTTATGTATTTGTTTATAGGTAAAAAATAGGATATGGGAAGAAGAGATCATATGTTGTATTTTAACATAAGGTGAGACGTTACTAAAATTGTTTATACTTGTGATGAAGATGAGAACTCACATATGTATTTTTGTTTATTTTTCCTTTTCTATTTCTTTTTATTTCTGCATCCTTTTTCTTTTATTTTTTCATATTGTATTAGTTTTGATTGTTATAATTTAATAAAATGTTAATAAAATTTTCTTTAATAAAATTACTGTATAAAAAAGTAGAAATCCTTGGTCTAAGATTTGGAAAATCTAGTTAGAATAGATCCAGTTGCATCTGATTTCCATATACATCATTAGGTATTTTCATATGTTTTTACTTGCATATGTCCACTGCATCTGTGGTAGGGCTTTCCCAATAGTGGTATTTTCATTCTATAACACTTCTTGGAAAGCTTATCTGGAAGTAAATCACAGAAAAAGATTAATAAATATGCTGAGCAACCTCCAGCTTCTTCACCTTGCCAACTTCAGCTAAAAACAATCCTAGAATTTCCCCGTATGAATGTGAGTGAATGTCAGAAATATTTGTGTTCTTGTATGTGCGCATGTGTGTAGGTATATTTGCCAGAAATTCCATCCCAGTTAATTGAAACAATCACTATTTAGAATTAAGTCTCAGTACAAGGAGGCCCCCCATTTGTAAAATTGATTAATCTACATTGCATATACTAACTGTTCTGTCTCACACATCACTTTCATTAAATGCCCATACACGTATTACAGGTACCTTTCTTCCTTCTAGCAGTAAAAATAGCAAAGCTACAGAGAGAGAAAAAATAAAAATAAAGGCAAAGCTGGGTGAAGGAAAGAGATAGCTCTGCAATAATATTGAGACATGAAACTAAATAATGATGCTGTAAAAAAACAGGGGCAAGAAAAATATGGCTTATTGAACTGATTACTATATTTTTCGGAGTATAATATGCACTTTTCCCCCCAAAAAAGAGGATGAAAATCTGGGTGCATTTTATACACTGAATACAGCATTTGTGGCCTCATGAAACCCTGCCCCCTTCACAAAAATGGGAGGCCTGCAAAGTGTTCCTGGAGGCTGGGAAGGGCAAAAATGAGCAAAAACAGCCCATTTTTTTTGTTTGTTTCCACCCCCCAGCCCCCTGGAGCACTCTACAAGCCTCCTAAGGCTATGCAAGCCCTTTTGGGGGGCAAAAAATGGGCCCATTTTCATAAAAATCGCCCTTTTTTGCTCATTTTTGCCCCCGCCCCGGAACACTCTACAAGCCTCCTAAGGCTATGCAAGCCCTTTTGGGGGGCAAAAAATGGGCCCATTTTCATAAAAATCGCCCTTTTTTGCTCATTTTTGCCCCCGCCCCGCCCCCCCAGCTCCCAGGAGCACTTTGCAGGCCTCTCAAACTCTCTGCATGCCCTGTTTTTCACCAAAAAAATGAGGTGTGCAGAGGGTTTGGGAGGTCTGCAGAGGGCAAAACCTTTTTTAAAAATTTATCTCATCAAAATCTTGGTGCGTCTTATACTCCAAAAATACGGTACATATGCTGTATACAATATACATACAATATACGTATACATAATCTTATACAGGTAGTCCTAGACTTACAACCACAACTGAGCCCAACATTTCTGTTATTGTGAAACTTTTGTCAAGTAAGCTTTGCCCCATTTTACAACTTTTCTTGCCACATTTGTTTAGTGAATCACTGCAGTTGTTAATATAGTAACATTGTTGTTAAGTGAATCAGGCTTCTCCACTGACTTTGCTTGTCAGAAGTTTGCAAAAGGGAATCATATGACCCTGGGACACTGCAACGGTCATAAATAGAAGTCAATTGCCAAGCATCCAAATTTTGATCACATGATCATGAGGATGCTGCAGTGGTCATAAGTGTGAAAAACGGTCATACAGTAAGTCACTCTTTTCAATGCCATTGTAACTTTAAACAGTCACTAAACGAACTGTGGTAAGTCGAGGACTACTTGTAGTCAAACATATCTATCTGAAGTATGGGACATTAATGATTTTATGTTAGTATTTCATCATTTTATTGTTAATTGTTATTGTTTCCATTGAGATGTTGCATAGTGGAAAAAGCAGGTTGAGAAAAATATTGTAAGAGGAAACTTGCTTTTTTTTAAGGTGGTTTATCGCAAATAAAGGGATGCGGTGGCTCCCTGGCTAAGATGCTGAGCTTGTCGATCAGAAAGGTTGGCAGTTTGACTATTCGAATCCTTAGTGCTGCGTAACAGAATGAGCTCCCTTTACTTCTCCCAGCTTCTGCCAACCTAGCAGTTGAAAGCATGTAAAAATGCAAGAAGAAAAATAGGAACCACCTTTGGTGGGAAGGTAACAGCATTCTGTGCACCTTCGGCATTTAGTCAAGCCGGCCACATACCCACGGAGGCATCTTTGGACAACACTGGCTCTTTGGTTTTGAAACAGAGATGAGCAGTGCCCACTAGAGTCAGGAACGACCAGCATATATGTGTAAGGGGAACCTTTAACTTTACCTTTATCGTGAATTCTAAATGCTGTATTTTCTTCAGGCTCTAATGTGATTTCAAATTCACAAATTGAATTTTCTGCCTGGCAGGTAGCCAAGTTGAAGTACAACCAAACAACAATGAAAAATTAATTTAAAGCTTTTACATCATAAAATTAGAATCAGAAAACATTAAAGCATGTTGAAAGAATCACAACTGCTACCATTAAAGTATATAGAAATAGAATGGCTTTAACTTCTCTATGAAGGAAATATTATAATCCAAATGCTGAAACGCCCAGTTTCTATTATCTACCTCAATATAAAACTAAAACTTTGATCTTTAATGTGGATTTTTATTTGATCTAAATATTTAGGCACTTTAAATATAGCTGCTAAAGTAGAATAATATGCTTATAGTTGATTGTAATATGATACTAACACTTTGTTAAAAATAAAATATTTTCATTTATCTCTTGTAGTGATTCAGAAAGCCGAAAACTATGCAAGAAGATGAAGGTTGATCCTGGTTTGAAAGAGAAAGGGATAGAATTACTACACTACAAGTATGTACATGAGTGGGTTAGTGGATATTACGTTGAAATTGCTAGGGTCCTCCATGGCTTTGAGAATGACCTTGTTGCACAATACAATCCTACACAGAGTAATATATATTTATTCATGTATTTAGTTAAGAAAATTTATATGGCCACCCAACTCGCTCTCAATGACTTTGGGTAGCTTTAAGTCTAGATCAGAATAAGCTAGTAGCCTGTACCATGTATGAATAATCTTGCTCATTAAGGCAGTGGTTATTTCACTGAATATTTGTATTTTAGTTTCTTCTTCCTCCACATTTTGACTGCCAGTGGCATTACATTTTTGAGGGTTAAAACCCATGCTGGCAAAATGTCCAAGGTTGCTTGCAATAAATTCTCACTGAAGTTGAATCGATTTCTCTTGCTGATTTCCATGAGAGTTCAACATCTTTGCTTAACTGTCTTGTGCATATTAATATGATTTTAAAATGCTCAATCTAGATGACTGTATATAATAGATACAAGTCTGATTTCTACATTGAATGCTGTATAATTTTTTAATGTCCTGGTCAGCCCCAGATTGGCTTGAATTATTCCCAAGGTTGAGTTTGACCCTCTGTGTTTGTGTATTGTGTATGTCTGTGGGGGAACTCAGGTGCTGGAATGGGAGCTTGAGTAATCTGTGCATTTGCTAAAAGTTGGAGTCCTATCAAATACAGGCGACAATTTCCCACTTCAGGTGGGGAAAACTTTGTTTCAATGTCTTTCAGCCAATTTGCCAAGCTAAACTATACATTCATATTTTGTGTACCTCCCATTCATAGTTCAGAAAAATGCTAACGTTAACAGAACAGAATAACAGAGTTGGAAGGGACCTTGGAGGTCTTCTAGTCCAACCCACTGCCTAGGCATGAAACCATACACCACTTCAGACAAATGGTTATCCAATATCTTCTTTAAAACTTCCAGTGTTAGAGCATTAACAACTTCTGGAGGCAAATTGTTCCACTGATCAATTGTTCTAACTAACATTAGGTTGCTTTGCATTGTTCTTGAAGCTCCAGGTGTCATTGCTGTTGAGTAGAGGTCATTTCCTTAGCACAGAAGAGTGACAACTGTGGTTTTCATAAGTTACGCTTCCTTGAACAAGAATTCCAAGATATACAGATACAGATTAACAGAGTTGGAAGTGACCTTGTATTCACCTAGTCCAACTCCCCACCAAAGCAGAGCCTATACCAGACAGATGGCAGTCCAGTCTCTTCTTGAAAGCTTCCAGTGATGAAGTTCTCACAACTTCTGAAGGCAACTTCTGTTCCATTGGTTGATTGTTCTCACTATCTCAAGTTAGTCTTCTTGAGTCTGATTCAGTCTTCCATTACAAGAAGCAGGACTCAATGTTTGTCACCAGGGCTTACAATTCCTTAAATATTTCCCTACCCAGTGTTAGTTCTTTATTGTCTAATTAAAGATTCATGCAGAGTTTTAGCTTGTTTCATATTTCTTGGAGCAAGTTGTAGCCTGGCAATTTTGATTTATCTGCTAATCAACCTCAGCTATCTCTCATACTCATGGACTCACTTCCATGTTCAGGACAAAATGCTCAGCAAGAACAAGAATAAGTAGATGGCCAGGCTTCATTCAGAATTTGGAGCTGATCAGCTAGCACAAGACCAAGTTCTTTCACTCTAAAAAATTCATGCATCATAAGTAGGCAGGCCTCATCATTTTTGCTGTCATCTCTCTATTTTCTATAGTGAGATGGTAAGTAGAATTATAAACAGCTGGCTCCATGTGTACGTATATTTATTATTAGAGATTTTTGTTATGAAAACAAAGGTTTGTTGCAGGAACTGCCTCAATAAAAATGTGTTACAGGTCAATAACATAATATTTTTTATTCCAGTATGAGCAGCAGTAATAGAGGGTCAAAGTTATTTCTGGAAATTACCATATTTTTCAGAGTATTAGACACACTGGAGTATAAGACACACCAAGATTTTGAAGAGGAAAATTTTAAAAAAAGTTTTTGCACTCTGCAGACCTCCCAAAAATGGGCCCTTTTTTTGTCAGAAAAAAAGGATGTGCATAGCCTTTAGGAGGCTTATAGAGCACTCCTGGATGCTGGGCGGGGGGCAAAAATGAGCAAAAAACAGCCCGTTTTTCGCTCATTTTGCCCTCCCCAGCCACCAGGAGAACTCTGGAAGCCTCCTAAAGGCTATGCATGGCCATTTTTGCAAAGGAGGCGGGGTTTCAGGAGGCCAAAAATGCTGTATTCAGTGTATAAGACGTACCCAGATTTTCACCCTCTTTTTTTGAGGAAAAAGGTGCGTCTTATACTCTGAAAAATACGGTATCTCTTTTTTTCAAATCCCGTGTGAAAGAAATAGGGAAAATCATGTCAATATGATCTTGACTAGTGTTTTAAAAAATCAGTTATGTTTGGAAAAAGGATTCAGAAACTAATACGAACACATTAGGAGTTACTTTGAACTGCCTATTTGATTCATTTCAGTAAGATGGTCTCTACCAATATTTCCTGAATAAGTTGAAAGTATTTTATCAGTTCATTGATTTCAGAGGACTTGAGCACATGTCTGCTTTTGTTTGGTGGGGATTAAGCTGCCTAAACAGAGCAGTGCATTGTTAATGGAAGTTCCCTTGGGTATCTGCCACTCCCTAAACCTGGTCTATGGTAAATTGTCTCATTAAGGCTTATGGAAGAGATTGCCCATTAGAGACCTGTTTGCTTCCAAAACTTGTTTTTCATTGTTCTGTTTTGCACAGGCTTGCAAAATGACAAAAAGTTCATTTAGTCTGGCCAGAATAAAGAGTTGTGTGATTTTCTAATGGTGTTGCTAAAATTAATTACTGTTTTTCTTTACAGAGATGGTGCATTTCACACTGAATATAACAGAGCATTTACACTGAAGGTAAATTTACAGTTGTTTTCCAAACCTTTTGGAAAAGAAAGACTGTGTTCGGATGTAGAACAGATGTTAATATATGCAGCTTTATTTTTGGATGGGAGAGAGGTGGTACATTTTGTAAACAGCTGCTTGAGTGACCTAAAGGTCTCAAATCTCCTGTACATATGCATGCTAAACATCCTGTGAATCTATCTGTGATTAACTAGATTGGGTTAATGCTAAGTTGCAGCTTCGTTGCAATCTGCTAACAAAGGGAGAGGATGGTTATTGTGATTGTTTTTAATGAGAAGATCTTGGTTTTGCTGTAAATTCCCTTTTATGCCAGACTATATCTAATAGCATGAAACTGAGAGTGATTGGGAAAAATACTCATCTTTTTATTTTGCTTTTTTCATCTGCTGTGATACAAGATTAAAAGAGAGATGAAATGGCCTTTTTCAAGATCTCATTAGAGACATAGATTAAACTCACAGAGATGTTGCCTTTAGTCTAGAATGGGTAAAGTGGCCTTCCTCCCTAACCATTGTTTTCCTTCTCTTTCCTGCCTGGCCTTAATAGGATTTACACAAAGCAAGAACTTCAGAGAAAAATGGCCTCTAGAGGACATCAGAAAATAGACCAGGTTAAAGAAGCTCCATCTCTGGGGTTAGAGCCATTGTCAGAGGCAAGTGTGTTTGCCCATTTGCTGAGGCTTTTGCCTAGTAGGTGACTCCATTGCCAAAATTTAGAGACTTTTGGTTTTTAGTTGTGCTTATGGTTCCCAGTTCCAAGTAGGCAAATAGTGAGGATCAAGATGGAATAGTAATTTAGCACAGGTTGTCTTCTTTCTCTACAGAAAAAGGTTGAGTGCCTCCAGTGACTTCTAAATTTGGACCTAGCACAGTGGCAGCATTAAGAAATAAAATAATTCACAAAGAAAACGCAGGAGGCGTATAAACTTCAATTGGTTCTGCCTCTGCAATTATTTCAGGAGACATACAGATAGTCCTTGGTTAGTGATCATTTTCAGTTATGACAGATAAAAAAAGTAACTTTGTGACCAATTTTTGCATTTATTACCTTTGTAGGTCTGTAAAGCAAAGGGAAGCTGAAGTAAGATCGTAAATACAGTTACATTTTCACTTAATGACCTCTTTACTTAAGGATTGAATTGCTGGTCCAAATTCTGATCGCTAAATGAGAATTTACCATACTGATATGGTAAAGATATGGATATCTTTAAAGAATTCTGCTACTTGGGTCCACTGCTTAGCTCAGTTGAATTTACCTTGTAAAAATGTAACCCCAGATTTTTACCATGGCCTCCAGAAGTTCTCCAAATGTCCCAGGACAACTTTAGGCTATGAATTTATATGAATCCATTTTATTTAGCATGGGAGCCCAGATTATCAGCATGGGAAAGGTTCCATGTTTGAATACGTTAAGCCTCTGTAATGTAGCTATCCTTGAAATTCTGAAAAAAAAATTATGAAAGGCATCACTAAAGGGATCACCAAGAGGAAAAAGGAGGTCCTAATACCACCATATTAGGAATGCGGTGGCTCAGTGGCTAAGATGCTGAGCTTGTTGATCAGAAAGATCAGCAGTTCGGTGGTTCGAATCCCTAGTACTGCATAATGGAGTAAGCTCCTATTAGTTATCCCAGCTTCTGCCAACTTAACAGTTCGAAAGCATGTAAAAATGCAAGTAGAAAAATAGGAACCACCTTTGGTGGAAGGTAACAGTGTTCCGTGCAGTTTCGGCGTTTAGTCAGGCTGGCCACATGACCAAGGAGACGTCTTTGGACAGCGCTGGCTCTTCGACTTTGAAACAGAGATGAGCACCGCCCCTTAGAGTTGGGAACGACTAGCACATATGTGTGAGGGGAACCTTTACCTTTAATATCATCAAATAGGGTATTAGCCACTTGGAATGCTGTGTCCAATTTTGGAGATCTCACTTAAAAAAAAGATATTGACAAGATTGAGCAAGTCCAGAGATGGGCAACAAAAATAGTACAAGGTCTGAGGAACAAAATCATATCAGGAGAGATTGGAGGAACAGAGTATATACAGCCTGGAGGACAGAAGATATGATTGAAACCATTACATATATTAAGGGTGTGAAAGCCGTATTTTCAACATGAAGCAAAAATTAAGAGCTCAGGGGCAATAACTCCAAACTGGCAGGAGGGAAGTTCAAAAGTAATGTTAGAAAGTATTACTTCACAGAAAGAGTAGTGGAGGTTTGGAACCAACTTCTAGTGGAGATACTGTTTGGTGATCAGTAATGGTGTTTAAACGTGCTTAGGATAAACACATGTCCATCATCTGACAATTTAAAAAAAAATAATAGACGAAGCACTAGGTCTTTTTCTGCCTTCAGTTTTTCTATGTTTTTCTGAAATGTTCTACCTAATTTTTCAAACATTTAAAAGGTAGAGAAGGTGCAGAAAAGAGCATATAGAGGCTACAGAAACAGCTTTGTGAGGGGCAACTGAAGTATTTATTCTCCTTTATACTGAGAAAAATAAAGTTAACCAAGGGGGAACATTAAGGCAGCTTATAAAATTGCAAAGTGCGTAAACAGAACAGAGCGGGTGCTTGCTTTTGCAAACATTTGTTGGATTCAGAGCAGACAGAATAAATTACTTCATACACATAAACTTCAGATAGCTTTAAAAGGGGAATTGATTAATTCCTGGAAGAAGAGAGATATCAGTAGGTATTATAGTAATGCAATCCTATTTCATTATGAGCAGCAGCACATGCAGAAAAAAATCTGGGTGCCTTGATGCAGGGGTCCTCAACCTTTCTGGATCTGTGGACCAGCAGCGGTGGCAGCAGGGAGGGATGGTTTCATGCACTTGCCTGCTGCTTGCACAAAAGGAGCTTCGGGAACGTGCCCGCCAATAACACACCCCAGTTCCCAATAAGTCGTGGACCAGGAGTTGAGGGACCCCTCTCTTAGTGGATCATAGTCTGAACATGAGGCAACAGTTTTATGCAGTTGCATAAAAGCCAATGCTACCTAGACTGAATATACGGAGGAATAGCCTCAGGATCAAGAAAAGCCACTGTACTTGTCATATGATACCTGGAATACTGTATCCCATTTGGGGTATTGCATTTTAAAAAGGACACTGATAAACTGAAACACATCTGAAGGAAACTGAGCAAGATTAAAAGGGCCTGGAAGGAAAAAAATTGTCAGGAATATTTAGAAATGTAGTATGTTCTTAATCTGCAGAAGTAAAGACTATGGGGAGCATGATAGCTACCTTCAAATATCTGAAGGACTAGCAAATGGAGCAGAACTGTTCAGAGTTGTTCCAGAAAATGGGACAAAAAATTACAATAAAGTAGTTTTTAATTGGCATCAGGAGAGGTTTCCTAAGAGTAAGAGGTATAGAACAATGAAACAGATTGCCATGGAATGGCTCAAATCTCTATGGGTTCTATTTTATTCTCTCAAGCAAGAACTAAGAGAGCGGCGGAGAGCGGCGCGCGGGCGTCCGGAGCCTCCCCCACCACTTTACCATCTCTTGGAAGCCCCTGGTGCTGCTGGTGAGCCCTCTGGCCAATTACCTACTGGCCCCAGGTCCTGGGCCACCCAGCTGTGCGAGGAAGGCGGCGACGGCGGCGCGCGGCGGTGAGAGCGGCGCGCGGGCGTCCGGAGCCTCCCCCACCACTTTACCATCTCTTGGAAGCCCCTGGTGCTGCTGGTGAGCCCTCTGGCCAATTACCTACTGGCCCCAGGTCCTGGGCCACCCAGCTGTGCGAGGAAGGCGGCGACGGCGGCGCGCGGCGGTGAGAGCGGCGAGCGGGCGACCGGAGCCTCCCCCACCACTTTACCATCCCTTGGAAGCCCCTGGTGTTGCTGGTGAGCCCTCTGGCTAATCTTCTACTGGCCCCTGTTCCTGTGCCCCCCAGCTGTGCGAGGAAGGCGGCGACGGCAGCGCGCGGCGGTGAGAGCGGCGCGCGGGCGTCCGGAGCCCCCACCACCACTTTACCATCTCTTGGAAGCCCCTGGTGTTGCTGGTGAGCCCTCTGGCTAATCTTCTACTGGCCCCTGT